TAAGTCATAGTGTATAGGACGGACTAATGTCTGTGGGCCTGAAGTTACACTGGGAATTCTGTAACAGTGACAAAAGCTACATGGTTCTAAGCTAGTGAGTCTGAGAAGATGTACAGGCTTCTACCTATGCCTTAGCTCCAAGCACACACAAGTATTGAGAAACTGCTCACAACCATGTTGTGGAATATTTGTTGAAGATGTGTCATATTTATTTATGTTGTGAAATATTTGTTTAATTATGCAAAGATGTATTGCATTTGTGTAACTCCATGAAGGTGTGTTACTTTGCCTGTCTAAAACACCTGTTTGGTTTAATGAAGTGCTGAATGCCAATAGCAATGCAGGAGAAAGGAAAGGTGGGGCTGATATACAGAGAGAATAATTAGAAGAGAGAAGGGGGAGGAGTGAAAAAAGAGGAGTAAGAAGAGAAGGAGAGGAGGAATCCAGGGGCCTGCCACCCAACTATACAGCAAGCCACACTGTAAGAAGTAAAGAAAGGTATACAGAAAGGTAAAAGCCTAGAAGCCAAAGGTAGATGGGATAATTTAAGCTAAGAAAAGCTGGTTAGAAATGAGCCAAGCTAAGGCCAGGCATTCATAAGCAAGAATAAGTCTCCATGAATTTATCTGCGAGCTGGGTGGAGGGATTCCAAAACAGCAAAGAGTAAAAAAACAACCAACAACATTTTGGAGCTCCAACATGAGGCCTGTTTTACCACACAGGGCCTGAGAAAGCTGAAAATTAAAAAAAAGAGAGAGATTACAGCTCCTTTAAGTGTTTCTGCTTGACAGTGAGCCCTTGAGCAGCTGGTATGTTAGGTAGGAATAAAAAACTAAGTAAAAAACACCTACCACAGTGAAGGGCACTGGCATTCCATAGTTAGGGGTTTGAATGCAGTTACTGGTCAAATTCACCTCTGACTAGGCCTCAAGTTTTAGGCTTGGCTTTCAGGGATGGAGAAGGTGGTGGAGCCAGCCAATAGAGCCTCTTGGAGGACCCAGCTGTAGCTTAGCTGATGGGAATGTCATTCTGTATGCTGTGAATGTGTGTTGCTCTGATTTGGTTGATAAATAAAACACTGATTGGCCAGCAGCCAGGCAGGAAGTATAGTATAGGTGGGATAAGCAGAGAGGAGAATTCTGGGAACAGGAAGGCTGAGTCAGGAGTCGCCGGCCAGACACAGAGGAAGCAAGATGTGAAGACAGAACTGAGAAAAGGTATCAAGCCACGTGGCTAAACATACATAAGAATTATGGGTTAATTTAAGTGTTAGAGCTAGTCAATAGTTAGCCTGAGCTAATGTTTGTTCAGTTATAATTAATACAAGCTTCTGAGTGATTATTTTATAAGCAGCTGCGGGGTCCATGGGGCTGGGCAAGACTGGAGAAAACTTCAACTACATTTAGCAATTCAAAGTTTGCTCACATGGTTAAAAAAAGACTAGAGATAAGCAGTAAAGAGAGATCCAGTTGGAAAAAAAATCTCTGAACAGGTTCCAGTGTGTTTTATAATGTGTGTAGTCTTAAGAAAGAAAGAAAAAGGATATAGACAATCATAGAAAAAAATAAGTAGTTTAAAAATAATCAAGTCTTTAAAGAGAGTAAAAGTAATATAAAAGAAAAAAGCCACATAAAATGAGAAATATACAGGGAGTCTGGATTCTGAATGTTATGTAATTTTGAATTTTGTGAATGTCATGAGCAAATGACAGCTGCTGACAGACATGGGATAGTGAACTGGACTGCTAAATTAAACCAGCCTATACACTTTAGGAATGCCTTAACTTTAAAATGGAAGTAAAAAATGTTTTTGTAAAATGGAACTCAAAAAAATGCATTGCTTTGGAAAAGAACTTTTGCTTTTATTTCCATAGGAAATGAGAGGATTCCTTCCAGGTTAAAATATATCAGGTTTGATCAAGGGATACCTCCTGAATCTTGACAGGTGATATATATCATCAAGGATTATAGCTGTTTTTCCTAGGACTTTGCCATAATCTCAGTTTTCTCAGGGATCCCTAAAGATGCCTTCACCTACAGACAACAGGAAACATTCTGGAGAACATGATGCCCACATTCCAAAGAGATGGGGTGAGTGGTCTCTGGTTATTTGGTGGGTTGTGGATATTTGTTATCATTTAAGGGAATATATGAATACAGGATAAAAAGACAACTATTAATCTCAGATACTTTGCATATTTTGGTATATTGATACAAATTTAAAGTTAGTTTTGTTACACTGTATACATGTTTCTACTCTTGTTTGGGGTATTGTGCTTATGCAGCTCATTTAAAAATGAAATGAATAATAAAAATGAAGTTAATAGTTAATCTATAATAATCAAACTTGTAGTCACATTAGGAATTTTTCAAGGTTAAACAGGTATATTTGAGACAAATAGATTGTTTTCAAACACTTCAAAGACCTACAGAATATGGCATTTAAGATGTTTAAAAAAGATGTTTAATAACCTAAGTTTTTTTCAAGACATTGAGAAACATCTGCTCCTGGCAGCACAAATTTACCTCATAAAAGGATGATGGGCATTGAAGAAACTCCACATGGAGTTTGCTTTCAATGTGGCAAGGGTAGCCATTTGGGCAAGAAACTGATTTTTCCTTGACTGCTGACTGTTTGCTGTACAAACTGGATAATCAGTACACAAAGGAATAAGACTGTTGAACTTTGCCAAAATGAGGCGAACAGTCCTTCAAAATTCTTGCTTCATAGATAAGTCTGCCAGACATTCTGCAGGACACACAGGAGAGTGACTGACAAATTTTGCCAATACATGGCAGTACAGTCCTTCAAATTTCCTACTTCATTGAAAAGTTTGCCAGATACTCTAGGCCTGTAGGCTGAAGATGGATGCCCCAACATTGCAAGGAACTTTGTGTGTCTGTCCAGGCAGCCAGATGTCTCTGTTGTTAGATTACATCCTTCTGGATCTTTGATGGAGTTAAAGACTAAATAATTAGAGTTATAGTTTTCCTTAGTTATGAGGGGAAGGTAAATTAGGTATAAAACTTTGGATCACTAAGATAAGATAGATTATGGAGTATTTTCTCTGAATTTGATAAATACAAATGGATGGAATATTATAAATGTCATTCTTACTTGATAACTGTTTTTGTTGTATATAGTTTTATTATGTCAAACTTAAAACCTTTCATTTTTATGTAGACAAAAAGTGGAAATGTTGTGGAATATTAGTTGAAGATGTATTATATTTGTTTATGCTATGGAATATTTGTTTAATGATGCAAATATGTGTTGCATTCATTTAACTCAGTGAAGCTGTGTTACTTTGCCTGTCTGAAATACCTGATTGGTCTAATAAAGAGATGAACATCCAATAGCGAGGCAAGACAAAGGATAGGCAGGGCTGGCATTTAGAGAGAAGAGAGAAGAGGGAAAGAGTGAAAAAAGAAGAGTGAGAAGAGAAGGATGGGAGGACTCCAGGGGCCAGCCACCCAGCTACACAGCAAGCCACAGACTAAGAAGTAAAGGAAGGTATATAGGAAGGTAAAAGCCCAGAAGCAAAAGGTAGATGGGATAATTTAAGTTAAGAAAAGCTGGTTAGAAATAAGCCAAGGTAAGGCTTGGCATTCATAAGAAATACGTCTCCATGTGATTATTTGGGAGCTGGGTGGTGGGTCAAAAAGAAAAAGAGTTAAAAAACTAACTAAACAAACAAAAATAACCTAACCAACAACATATCCAGGCAGAATGCCAGGTAGTCTTGCTGCAAGATGAAGGCAGACACAGCCTTCCTGCATGGACACAGTATGGTGAGAAGTCAGTTCAAACCAGTGATTAGGGCATTGATGGCTGTGGAATGGAAACAGGGTACAGTGGGGACATGATATCTGGTCTTGTCTCAAAAGGAACCAAAGATTTAGTAGATCAAGACACATATAATGTACTTAAAGAGTAAGCCAAGTGAAATGGGAGCAGAGAGAAGATGGCACTAAGCAAAAGGAACAGCAACTGTGGTAGCCCAGAGTCAAGACGCTATGTCCTTTCAGTACAGTGTTGATGACAGTGGAATATGAGAGTTATTATGGGAACAGGTGAGACTGTGGAGGCAGGAAAGGATCAGTTGTGATGATACTGGTTTCTTTACAGTCTTTAAAAGGATTTTTGGCTTTATATTGAGAAGGAGGAGAAACCAAAAAAATCTTTCAGTAGAGTGATAATCAGTTTCATCTCAGAGAGCTATAATGTGAGAAGATGGAAATAGAGTATGGAAGAAACGAGATGAAATATTCTAACAGGGCAGTCAAACCATCTAGATGAGATACAATGGCAGCTTCAGTGTGGCATTGAAATGAGCATGGATGGCTTAGAAAGAAATGAAATGACAGACTCTGGGATTTGCTGGATTAGGTTTTGATGGTGATGGGAATGAATGGATGAATGAAAATTCTTACATCTCTAATGTGAGACAAGATTTCTTCCCCTGAGATATGAGAAACTGGATGAGAAAAGGGCATTCGAGATCTATTGAGATAAAGATGGCCCTGTTATACTCCTACTATTGAGAACCAAAGGCCACTGAATTATCAGGAGATAGGGTCACCTGTGGGAGTGTTTTAGATAGGAAATAACAGCCAATCTCACTGTATCTAACTACCAGTGAAAATATCTGACAAGCAGCTTAGACTTATTCATGGGGCTAAATTTAAGAAATTTAATCCAGGTGTGGTGCATACCTGAAGTCCCAACACTCAGGAGTCAGAGGCAGGCATATTTCTGTGAGTTCCAGGCCCACCTGGTCTACACAGGGAGCTACTGCCCAGACAAGGTTAAGTAGAGAGACTCTGTGTCAAAATACACAAACAAAAGAAAGAAATTTATTTTCTTTTTCTTATTTTCTTTCAGTTTATGAGGATGCAATCAGTTATTGAAGAATACTTAGCAGATTGTAGATGATAGAATTGTGTTCAGTTTTATTTGAATTTAAGGGACTTTGTAAATTTTCTCTTAAAGATTCTGGTGACACAGCATGACAGAAGGAAACCAAACTGTCATCTCTTGGTTCCTCCTCCTGGGCCTACCCATCCCCCCAGAGCACCAGCACCTGTTCTATGCCCTGTTCCTGGCCATGTACCTCACTACTGTCCTGGGGAACCTCATCATCGTCATCCTCATTCAACTGGACTCCCATCTCCACACACCCATGTATTCATTTCTCAGCAACTTGTCCTTCTCTGACCTCTGCTTCTCCTCTGTCACAATGCCCAAATTGCTGCAGAACATGCATAGTCAAGTCCCCTCTATCCCCTATGCAGGTTGTCTGACACAAATGTACTTTTTCTTGCTTTTTGGAGACCTTGAGAGCTTCCTCCTAGTGGCCATGGCCTATGACCGCTATGTAGCCATCTGCTTCCCACTTCATTACACCAGCATCATGAGTCCTAAGCTATGTGTGAGTCTGGTGTTGCTGTCCTGGGTGCTGACCACATTCCATGCCATGTTGCACACCCTACTCATGGCCAGATTGTCATTCTGTGAGGACAATGTGATTCCTCACTTTTTCTGTGACATGTCTGCTCTGCTGAAGTTGTCTTGCTCTGACACCCATGTTAATGAATTAGTGATATTTATCACTGGAGGCCTTGTTCTTGTCATTCCATTTGTGCTCATCCTTGTGTCCTATGCAAGAATTGTTGCCACCATTCTCAAAGTTCCTTCTGCTCAAGGTATCCATAAGGCCTTTTCCACCTGTGGTTCCCACCTGTCTGTGGTGTCACTGTCCTATGGGACAGTCATTGGTCTGTACTTATGTTCATCATCTAACCACTCTACTGTGAAGGAGAGTGTCATGGCCATGATGTTCACAGTGGTGAATCCAATGCTAAACCCCTTCATCTATAGCCTGAGGAACAGAGACATAAAGGGAGCTCTGGGAAGAGTATTTTGTAAGAATAAAATGATGGTATGATGGTAATGATTGAGATTATTTATGTAGTAGATTGCTGATGGCCATGTCAGAGGAGCAGCAGGTGGCAATTGAAGTTTAAGGTGTCAGCCCACCAGGAGGAAACTCTCTGGTGGGTAAACCTCATTTAGGCAAGGCCACAAGACTCCAGACTCCAGAATGCCTTTTGGTGCTGCTGTGCTTTTATGTGTTTGCTGCTGCTATCTTTCTCTGGTACCTGGCCTAGTGTGAATAGGTCTGGGGAGATCCCCACTGCCTATTTTATCTCATGGAAACATCCAGTTCTACTGGGCATTTTTATATATGGTTTGTCATGAAGATGATTCTTCCCTAAATTGTACTGTCTAATTGATAATAATAATGATAGCTTATACAGAGTTTTGATGAATAAAAATAAATGCAAGGATATGTTTCACAGCTAAGGCCTATGAGTTCCACCTAAGGAACTGCTTTAGATCACAACTCAGGTTAATGATTAAGGAAAACAATTGAGTCCCCAGAGCCAGACTGACTCTTATTCTCTTAATGCTGAAAAGATGCAATCACAGTTTTTGGTATACACAATTGACAAACAGGCTGAGAAGGAAATCAGAGATACATCACCCTTTACAATAGCCACAAATGATATAAAATACCTTGGGGTAACTCTAAGCAAGCGAAGGACCTGCATGACAAGAACTTTAAGTCCCCGAGAAAAAGAAGTTGAAGAAGATGTCAGAAAATGGAAAGATCTTCCATGCTCATGGATAGGTAGGATTAACATAGTAAAAATGGCAATCTTACCAAAAGCAATCTACAGATTCAATGCAATCCCCATCAAAATCCCAACACAATTCTTTACAGACCTGGAAAGAACAATACTCAACTTCATACGGAAAAACAAAAAACCCAGGATAGCCAAAAGAATCCTGTACAAGAAAACAACCTCTGGAGGCATCATGATCCCTGACTTCAAGCTCTACTATAGAGCTACAGTAATAAAAACAGCTTGGTACTGGCATAAAAACTGACATGTGGACCAATGGAATTGAATTGAAGACCCTGACATTAATCCACACACCTATGAACATATAATTTTTGACAAAGAAGCCAAAACTGTACCATGGAAAAAAGAAAGCATCTTTAACAAATGGTGCTGGCATAACTGGATGTCAACATGTAGAAGACTACAAATAGATCCATATCTGTCACCATGCACAAAACTGAAGTCCAAGTGGATCAAAGACCTCAACATAAATCCAGTTACTCTGAACCTGATAGAAGAGAAAGTAGAAAATAGTCTTGAACACATTGGCACCAGAGATCACTTCCTAAATATAACACCAGTAGCACAGACACTGAAAGAAACAATAAATGGGTTCTCTTGAAACTGACAAGCTTTTGTAGAGCAAAGGACATGGTCAACAAGACATAGTGACAGCTTACAGAATGGGAAAAGGTCTTCACCAACCCCACATCTGACAGAGGGCTGATATCCAGAATATATAAAGAACTCAAGAAATTAGACATTAAAATAACCAACAGTCCAATTAAGAAATGGGCTATTGAACTAAACAGAGAATTCTCAACAGAGGAAGCTCAAATGGCTGAAAGACATCCAAGGAATTGCTCAACATCCCTAATCATCAGGGAAATGCAAATCAAATCAACTCCAAGATACCATCTTACACCCATCAGACTGGCTAAGATCAAAAACATTGAAGACAGCTTATGCTGGAGAGGATGTGGAGCAAGGGGAACACTCCTACACTGTTGGTTGGAATGCAAACTTGTACAGCCACTTTGGAAATCAATATGGCACTTTCTTAGAAAATTGGGAATCAGTCTCTCCCAAGACCCAGCTATACCACTCTTGGGCATATACCCAAGGAATGTTCAATCATACCACAAGGGCACATGCTCAGCTATGTTCACAGCAGCATTATTTGTAATAGTCAGAACCTGGAAACAACCTAGGTATCCTTCAACTGAAGAATGGATAAATAAAGTGTGGTACATATACACAATGGAGTACTACTCAGCAGAGAAAAACAATGACATCATGAGGTTTGCAGGCAAATGGATGGATCTAGGAAAAAATCATCCTGAGTGAGGTAAGCCAGACTCAGAAAGACAAACATGGTATGTACTCACTCATAAGTAGGTACTAGATGTAAAGCAAAGAATAACCAGACTCGTAGGTGGATACTAGATGTAAAGCAAAGGATGACTAGACTGCTACTCACAATTCCAGGGAGGCTACCTAGTAAAGAGGACCCTAAGAAAGACACAGGAATCATCCAATGACAGAGAAATGGATGAGATCTACATGAGCAAACTGGACGTGAGGGGGATAATGAAGGGCATGGGTTGAGGGAAAGAGAGCTTAGGGGACTAGGAGATCCCAGCTGGATCAAGAACAGAGAGAGAGAGAGAACAAGGAAAGAAATACCATGATAAATGAAGACCCCATGGGAATAGGAAGAAGCAGAGTGCTAGAGAGGTCCCCAGAAATCCACAAAGATACCTCCACAATATACTACTGGCAATGGTCGAGAGAAGGCCCAAACTGACCTACTCTGGTGATCGGATGGCTGAATACCCTAACTGTCATGATAGAACTCTCATCCAGTGACTGATGGAAGCAGATCCAAGGCCAAGCCCCAGATGGAGCTCCAGGAGTCCAATTGGCGCGAGAGAGGAGGGATTATATGAGCAAGAGATATTGAGACCATGATGGGAAAAAGCACAGAGACAAATAGCCAAACTAGTGGAAACACATGAACTATGAACCAATAGCTGAGGAGCCCCCATGGAACTGGATCAGGCCCTCTGGATAAGTGAGACAGTTGATTATCTTGAACTATTTAGGAGGCCCCCAGGCAGTAGGACCGGGACCTGTCCTTAGTGTATAAGCTGGCTTTTTGGAACCTAGGGCCTATGCTGGGACACTTTGCTCAGCCTAGGTGAAGGGAGGAGGGGACTGGACCTGCCTCAACTGAATATACCAGACTGAGCTGAATCCTCAGGGGAGTCCTTGCCTCCTAGTGGGAATGGGGGGTGGATTGGGAGGAGGGCGTTTGTGGGTGGGAGGATGGAGGGCAGGGGAATCCATGGCTGATATATAAAATTAAATTATTTATAAAATTAAAAAAAATAAACTATTGATGAATGCATATGTACCCTGAAGATCCAAAATTCAGCTTACTGACTGTTTTTTATGTATAGAAGTTTAGGTTTGTGACTTCCTTAAGATTGCTTATATAATTACCTTTCAAGATAGATAACAAGGTGATTGATTCTTTTCTTTGTAACCACAATTTTCAGCCTGCCAACAAAATAGTTGACCGAGAAAAATGCTTCTCGCCTATTCATGTTCTATTAATCTTTGACAAGTTACTCAGATGTATTGTATGTGGGTTATCATGATGACTGTTTTTAATCATGTAAGGGAGATAAAAATCATGTTTTTACCTATATTCATTCACTTGAAAAATGGAACATAACCACATTGTGATTTGTGTACTGCCTGAAAGATTCTATTTAGGTATATAAGCTGTAGAGGGAGAGAAGAACAGAGGAGAATAAAGAAGGAAACCATCAAGAAAGTATGTGAGTGTCTTTTTCCCTAACCCCCTCAGATAGAAAAGTCTTAGTTTACACTGATGCTGTGGATTCCTTTCAACCCTTGGGCTATCTGGAGGCTGGTCCCCCAGGCAGCAATAGTAGATAATTGATATCAATGTTATTATTGGCCTCTTTTTTTACTAGGGAAATTTTTGTTAAATATTATAGAATTGCCAGGTAATTAAAATAGTGGAAGTAAAATGTACAGTTGATTAAGAAGAGTAACAAGCCGGGCGGTGGTGGCGCACGCCTTTAATCCCAGCACTGGGGAGGCAGAGCCAGGCGGATCTCTGTGAGTTCGAGGCCAGCCTGGGCTACCAAGTGAGTTCCAGGAAAGGCGCAAAGCTACACAGAGAAACCCTGTCTCAAAAAACCAAAAAAAAAAAAAAAAAAAAAAAAAAGAAGAGTAACAAGTGATCCTCCTGTTTCTACTCCACATGGTGCTGGAGTTACAGGCACATGACCATGATTTTTTTTATGTGAGTGTTGGGGCTCTAAACTCAGGTCTGAATCTCATGTACCAAGTACCAACTGATAAATATTTCCAATTCTACATTTATCATTTCCTTGTGGTGAAGCATTCAAAACCATGTGGTTTTGGAATTTGTGGTAGTTTGAATGTAATTGGCCCCCATAATCTCATAGGGAGTGGCACTACTAGGAGATGTGGCTTTGTTGGAGTGGTTATGGCCTTGTTGTAGGAAGTATGTCACTGTGAGAGGGATAAGATTTGAGGTTTCCTATGCTCAGGATACTGCCTAGTATCTCAATCCATTTTCTGTTTCCTGCAAGATGTAGGACTCACAGCTACCTCTCCAGTACTGTGTCTGCCTGCATGCCACTATGCTCCCCACAAGATGATAATGGACTGAACCTCTGAAAGTGTAAGTGAGCCACCCAATGAAATGTTTTTGTTATAAGAGTTGCTGTGGTCATAGTGTACCTTCACAGCAATAGAAACCCTAACTAAAACAGAAATATATAGTACATTCTGGTATGGGCACCTGATGACTTAACAGCACGCTGACATTACTCATATCTAATTACAATGTAGAGGTCATCAATCAACTTTTCCCCATTCCTCCTTCCCCCTACTCCCTCTGGCCTCTACCAACAAATAACTTTACATATTTGTAGACTACAATGTGATGTTTTGGTGTATGTTATATTATGCAGATGGTCATAAGTGTCTAGGGATTAGACAGGTTCCCTGATAGGCAGATAGGGAAAAAGTCAGGACAAGGTAATAAAGACTGTGAACTTCCAAGACTGCTGGCTTCTTCCTTACTCTCCTGACCTGGGACAAATACTGACAACTTAAAACAAAGGCCTTGTGGGCTTTTCTCTTTTGAGTAGGCCTCCTGCTGATGGATTGCCTTAACAAGTTTAAGGTAGAATCAGGGAATGTTTGCACAACAGTTGTAGACCAATGGGCCATCCTGCCTTTCTTCAAACTGACCTACCCCAAATTAGGGGAGGAAGACCCTTCAGATACTTAAAAAAACCCAGCCCTAGAGAAATGACTGAATTTTGGCTTCCAGAGTATCCATTCTCCTTTGTTGGGGGTCTTTTTCTCTATGTGTCTACTGTAAAAGGGAAGAGGAAATGAAAGTTTTGACATGTGGTTTATGATTGGAGTGCTGAGATGAAAGGAGAAGAGAGCTGCAAGGAAATCCCCCCTGGGAACTGCAAACACTTGGAATTCATGGCAGGAGTCAGCAGTGAGGAGAGGGAACAAGAGGTGGGAGGCATAGAGAATCCTTCCAAAATCTTAATACAACCCATGCAAACCAATTCAAGAGGTCATTAAAAGTATCAGATGGTTGACTAATTGCTACCTCTGAGTGAGCTAATGGAAAGAATCTGAATAGGAAAGAAAACAGACCCTATTCCAAAGAGAAAGAGAGTGAAACATTTTGGAAATCCACAAAAGAAGTGAAAGGATGACTGAAAAGCACAGAGAAAGAGATGGATATTGCAGAGAAGTTGACCAAATACATCTTCAGCCATGCAGCCTCCTGATAGTCAGGCAAATCAGAAATGGAGCCCAATGGTAAGCCAAGAGAGACACTGGATGATCTGCCCTCAGGACAAGTCCCCAGTGTTGTGGAATAATTCTTTTGTACACTGTAAAGATTTGTCATTCAAGTGGTTTAATATAAATCTGACTGGCCAGTAGCCAGGCAGGAAGTACAGGCAGGACAACCAAACTAAGGATGCTGGGATGAAGAAGGATGGAGTTAGAGAAGAGTCACATACCAGACAGAGAGTAAGCAAGACATGTTGGAGAGGTAAATGCCTCCCTCATGCTTTGGGACAGCACATAGATGAATAAAAATGGGTTAATTTAAGTTGTAAGAGATAGTTAGTAATAAGTCTGAGCTATTGGCTGAACATTTATAATCAATATTAAGATTCTGGTGGCTATTTGGGAGCAGATGGTTGGGACAGGAAAACTCCGCCTGCATGTGGTGCCCAAATGTCTGGCACTTACATCCACATAAAATCTGAGAAAGCTTAAAAAAGGTTCTAAACACCCCAAAATGGAGCCAAACTTGGCTTCCTAGTTTCCTGTCTCTCATGCTGGCCACAATACCAAGATGCATCTCCCAGCAGCTGCCTGAGGGAAGTGCCAGCCA